ATCTCACTGTAACTGATCATTCTGTCGATTGATTAAAAAAAAAAAGAATTAGGCTACGTGAGAAAAATAGTGGAAATCAGATTAAGAGTGAAACATTATTGGGAAAATCAGATAAAAAATAATAAATAGTACAAAATGTAAATCAAATAAAGAATCTTGTGCATCACGAGCTTTGAGAATTGCATGACGTTTCATTTGTTTACACACACACACACACACACACACACACACACACACACACACACACACACACACACAGGGACCAGAGCGATTGCATAATGCAGTGACACAACTGGGTGTTATCCCATATTGATGTGCAGCTGAGAGAGATTATGGGTCAACCTCTGTTTGTTGGAATCAGAAAATAGCGTCGAGCAGCCAAATAGCTTCACTCATAAAGAACGCTCACAAGTTATCAGTCCAGTGTGATAACACATTTATGCTGAGGATTTATAATCCCAGATTATATACAAGAGATTCAGTCCCACTTCATATGTGGTCTGTTTCGGAGGTTAGATTTTAATTACAGCGCCGACATGGACAGAACAGCCTGTCAAACTTGGCAGGAAGTGTCGGAGGCACGGCTGGCGGAACGCAGAGTTAATCCATCAAACAGAGTCCATCCATCAAACAGAGTCCAAACAGTATCAGCACCAGAGAACAAACAGTCCAACTGGATTCAACCCGTTAATAAAGTGTGTGCACGCCATGTGTGAAGATCAACGAACATGACATGGAAAGTTCCAACTCACCAGCAAATATTTATCGAGCTGCGGCAGAATATCTCGCCGACCCCCGTTAAAGCTCGGACACAATGCGCCAAAGCAGAGCGGTGGAATCACCTTTGGAGCTGAAACAGTTTCTCTTTTGTATTAAAAGTTAATAAAACAGGACAGCAGTGCAAATATTTGCACAGTGAAAAATGAAGCCAGACACACAGGTGCGTTGCAGAGGCCGAGCGTGGAGGCAATATGGTTTTGGCTCTGGGGGGGGGGGGGGCATGCGCTGCAGTTCTGCCGAGCAGATCCGTCAAGTTCAATGTTTCAGTACGGAGGGGGGGAAGTTTTATATGATCCAGCTTTTTTATAAAAAGATGTTTGAATCAGAGAGATTCATTGAGTAATAAAGGCATGACTTCCCTTACTTCTGATATAAATCACTGTATTTGAACTGCGTACTTAAGAGGAAACAGAAAAATAAATCTACCACAACTATAAAACTCTACTTGTAAACTTGTTTTTTTTCTTTGGATACAGTAACGTGGTTGCAGCTTTTATGCAAAACACACTGAAACAATTTAAAGAGGAAAAGAATCAATTAGGAGAACCATGTATGTGAGATGTTGCCCAGGCCTCTTAAAGCTCTTTATCGAAGAGAGGCAGAGATAAAGGGAGGGAGGTGGGGGGAACAGCCAGAGCACATAAACAGATGGTCACTTTGCTGGGGAACATTAAATAGACATCAGAGATGCTGTAGGCACATCTGGAGTGGCAGGAAGCTGGGTACACGGAGATGCAGATCTGTGGGATAATTAGATGAGGGTCAGGACTTTGTGTGTGCATTCATGTGTGTGTGTCGACATCAGAAGCTCCACAGTAAGAAGTAATAGAGACAAACATGTCACGATGATACTGCAGAGTGTTTTCTCCTACATGTGCCGTATCAGTGTCGTTAAATATCCTGAGAGGCTTCACCCAGTTTGCCCTGAAGTCACTGGAACTAAAGCAAAGCAGTTTCACATGTGTGTCTGAAAGTTATTGTCCCGCAGAAGCAGTTACAGTGACTTCACTTCATATCAGTTTGTATAAAGTCGGCTTTTTATCACTATTATCACCAGCGGTGCTTCTATTTTAATGTGGTTTTCTTATTCGCAGATTTAAACTTTCTACAAATGCAAGAAGAAAAATTCTGTCATTGATTTTTGAGGCTCCTGATGCAGTTTCCATGGAAGTCAGAGGCGTAGAACATACGCCTTTACAACTGATGTTTATACGACCCACCCACCCAGTGTGCCTGCTAAAATAAATCAAGCCCGGCAGTCGGCTGATTTTTGCTCCTTACCCCTATAGACCCCCGAGGTGACTGAGCATGCAAAAGAAAAAAAAAGTAAAAAGGTAAAAGTGCAAAAAATCAAATGTAGAAGTACTTTTTTATAACTGAGATTTTTTTAAACGATTTTTTGCTAAATCGTTGATGTAGACTTTATCTCCGCCGACTGGCCTGGAACGTTTGTAGTCGTTTTTGTGTTTTCGCCTGGACGCAGGTATTTTGTAAAACAAAAGCCATGTGGACAGAGAATTTTTTAAACGCAGGAGAAAATATCCCCTTTTTGTTTGGGTCAGTGTTGTGTCATTTTTTTTTTTTTTTGCAAAGTCCCATCACACCCATCACATAAATTTGGAAAGTATACATTTGTCTTGCACACTGTGGGAGCAGACACATGTTTGACATGTTGCATCATTTTTCACCTCCAATTATATCTTCTTCTTCTTCTTGTCTTTTAAATTCCAATACTCCAGGTAGATTCTCTGCTACTGCTCTTCTTCTGTGAGACGTTGCAGACTGTGCATGTGAACCTATCCACCCTTCCTTGCTGGAGGTGGGAGGTAGAGAGCAGAGCTGGCGCTGGTGTCGCTGCTCTGTGTTCTTTGTGGCTGAGGAGGAGGAGGAGGGAGAGGATTCAGAGTCCTGCGGTGGGAGGTTTAGTGCACTGAGTGGGCAGCAGCTCCAGCATCTGCTCCCTCTTAGCGGCAACCACACTGGGTGTTATTGTTCCCGACAGAGATTTAAA